CATATGTTTTGGCCAATGAAGCAGATCAGCTGAGCCAGGAGACATCCTGACACCTGATCCACTTCATCTGGTGACATCTGTTTCTAGCCATAGATAAGGCAGTTGAATGGCGCCTTTGGGCAGTTGTTTTCAAACTTTTGACATCACAGAACCCTTCCATATCACATCTTTTGCAACGGAACCCCTACCCCAGCTCCGCAGCCTGTGTGAGCTGACGTGGAAGCAGGCAACCTGGCCCAGCAGTGGTGTCTGACCCTACCAGCTCACTCTGCCATTACCCCCAGTCTCTTTGTAGAACCTCTGATGACCTGTAACAAACCCTAGGGTTCTGCAGAGCACAGACTGAAAACCACTGTCCTTGGGGACCAGACAAGCTCCCTAGCTTTTCTTTTAGGTTATTTATATACTGCCCTCTGATAGAGTTCATATGGAATTCTAGGCAAGTGGCATAAACCAGAACTGTAACAGCTCATTTTCTATGGCTTCAATGGGAGACATCTGGAATACAATTTGCAGAAGTGCTAAGCCTCACAGCTGTGACTGAAGTCAGCAGAAGCTGGATAGTGAACAAAAATGGTGCTATAAAACACTGGAATCCTCAAATTTGGCACCCAATCATGTTGACACTTTTTACTTTTCTGGTGGCTTCTAGCCTGAAACATTATTTTGTTAAAAATAATTCTTACCATGCTTCACAAGGGCATTGTGAAGATACATTTAGTATTGTCTGTGAGAACCAAGATACTCTAATGCAGCATCTTTGAAAAGCTTGTAAGGAAATTTACAAATCTGTTTTCAGTGAAGAGTTTGGATGGTGCACAGTAAACAGTACAGAAAACTGCATGTTGTGCAATAAGGTTAAAAAGAAATACTGAATTTTTATTCCTGTTCCTAATCTTGAATTCCATCTAGAAATCTCCTGGGTCATCAGATCCAGTCCCTAGCTACCACAAGCAACCACATCACACAATCCCTTTCATAAGTTCCATCTTAAAAGCAGTTGTGATTTTTTTGCCCTAGTACTCCTATTAGGCTATTCTAAAACTTCACTGTTCTGTTCAGAAACCTGATTTCCAGCCTAAATTGATTAATGACCACTTCATAGCAGTTTGTCCTTGTGCCCTGCTGTCCTGTAGTTTAAGTAGTTCTTTTCTGTCCCTGGTGTTTGCCTTCCTGATGTGTTCAGAACAATCATTTCCCTGCTAGGCCTTTGTTTTGCTAGGATAAACAAGCTAGGTACTTGCTAGTTTCCTTTTGTGAAGGCAACACGTTTAGTGAGGGCTATTCCTCCTGTGCACTATGGGTAGAAATAGAGAGAGTATGTGCTCATAATGTTGGTAAAACTGTCTTGTAATGCAGACACACAAGGGGACTGAATTATTCCAAATGGGCCATGTTAAGACTTGGGCCTAATTTCAAATAGCTAATCTTCAATCTTAGCCCAAATACTAGATCAAGAATATCACATGATGAACGATACAATATTTGGGAACTTCAAAACCTCTCTAGTGAAGAATTCTGTCAGCTTATGCAGCAACTTTGCAAAGCACTGACCAGGGTAATTAGTCCCTGGGCCTGCAAGCATGTATTTGCACCACCTTGGTGTAGATTGGAAGCCCTCCTTTATTTTGAATAAGATGATAAAGCATAACTACATTGTCTCCTTACCTCTCCATCTTAGGATCATGCTATACCAAATGCCTGTCTAGAATCAGCTGTAAGAAGGTAAAGTAGATTTGCATCTTATAGACTAACCAAAGAAAGATATGTCTATATAGACATAGCTCTTTGGTTAGTCTATAAGGACATGTTCAGAAGTTGCTTTTTTACCATTTAAAGAGCTTTACTGTTGTGACTTAACAGCAGTGCATGGCTTTACAGCACTTTAAAAATAGGTAGAGCCCTTTAAATTAACCCTTGTTAAATGAGATATTAAATTTGAAGCACAGTATTTTACAGCACTTTAGCAACCTACAGCGCTTTAAATAACTTCTGTACTCTGGTCAAATTTCTGACTAGTGGAAAAGCCCCAGGAAGCTCAGAGCCCCACCTCCCCAACACTATACTTCTGTCATGTTTAACAGTGCTGTAACTTTATAGTGCTATAAAAAGTGCTTTAAATTAAAACCTATATGGAGCACTTCTGTACACACCCTAAGGTACAAATCTAGCCTGCTTTCTACTTGACTTCAGGCTAACATAGATAACTGTTTCTAGAACCAACTATGCAAAGCAGGTCCATCAGGGACACCCAGTTGTATTTTATAACATATATGCAAGACTGGGGGCATGAGCTGCCATAATTAAACTATGGATGGATGACACTTTATTACTCTTGACTTAAGTGTATGAGCCTGAAATTCCAGTCTTTATCTACTGATCCTGGCAACCTCTTGAATATTAATTCCAAGTGAAACCCATAGAATAAAGATTAAAGATTTTGATTCTTACTCAAGCCAAATGCAGGACTTCTTTCTGCCCTGTCTTCCCTAGCCCATTACCACTGGGATCAAAGAACCCTAAATCAATACAACCAGGCCCTCTGTCACCCATCCTCTTTATCCCCAGTGCACAGTAAATGTTGCTCCATCTTCTTGGCCATCCTAGAACGGCCCCTGAAGGAATTCAGCTGAGGTAGTTAAAGGCTCTTCTGGCCTAGTAATTCCTGTCTCCTAGTCAGCAGATAGAAAATAACTCTTCCAGTTCCTGTCATTATGTAAGAATGGAAGAATTTCTCCCATCCCTTTTCCAGCCTTTCGTAATCTTGACTTGCAGGAAACCTCTCTCCCTCCAGACAGACTCCATGAACAGGGCCAAACTCCATCCATCCTGAGTATCTCACCCTCCCCACAAGCTGGTGTTTTAACTAATATGATCATCCCTGTACTACTTGAAATGGGATGACTGCTGGCCCAGCCTGGCACTTAAAGCACAGTCTGCTTGTCTCCATTTACTGTGTGGGTCTCTTCCCTTGCTCAAAAGAGAAGGATAAACCTATCCACATAAGTCTCATCCTTCCTAAAACACCTGAAAGACCTAAACAGCTTCACTCAGTCTTGCCCATAGCTGCCACATCCCAGAGTGGGGCCAGGATCTAAAGAGGGTGAGGTTCCTTACAGCTACGTGGAATCTGCCAGTGGGTGGGCTAGGCTTCAGCGAGACCTAGAAAAATTAGAGTATTGGACTAAAATAAATTTCACAAAGTCCAATAAGGACAAGTACCTAGTCCTGCACTTAGGATGGAAAAATCCCATGCACTGATACAGGCTGGGGGCTGACTGGGTGGACAGGAGCTCTGCAGAAAGGACCTGGGGGTTACAGTGAACAAGAAGCTGAATATGAGCCAGCAGTGTGCCCTTGTTGCCAAGAACGCTAATGGCATAGTCAGCTGCATTAGTAGGTGTTTCCATTAGGTCAAAGGAAGTGATTATTCCCCTGTATTCAGCACTGGTGAGGCCACATCTGGAGTAGTGTTCAGTTTTGGGCCCCTCACTACAGAAACAATGTGGACAAATTAGAAAGAGTCTAGTGGGGGGCAACAAAAATGGTGAGGGGCCTGGGGCACATAACTTTTGAGGAGAGGCTGAGGGAACTGGGTTTATTTAGTCTGCAGAAGATTTAATAGTTTATAAATACGGGGTGGATTTAATAGCAGCCTTCAACTACCTGAAGGAGGGTTTCCAAAGGGGATAGAGCTGGACTGCTCTCAGTGGTGGCAGATGACAGAACAAGGAGCAACGGTCTCAAGTTGCAGCAAGGGAAGTTTAGGTTAGATGTTAGGATGAATTTTCTCATGAGGAGGCTGGTGAAGCACTGGAACAGGTTCTCCAGCGAGGTGGTGGAGTCTCCATCCTTGACGGTTTTGAAGACTCGGCTTGACAAAGCCTTGCCTGGGATGAGACAATTGGGGCTGGCCCTGCACTAGACCAGCATTTATCAGCCTGGTCCCAGGAATATGTGAAAGGGTCGGGAACAATTTAAAAAAAATGGATTCTCCTTCAAAAACGTGGGAAACCGCGGCGTTTCTCTGGCAGAGCTCCAGCTGCAAGAGGCTGCTTGGGGTCCCCCTACCCCACACACTGGGCGGCGCGGGTCGGCACTGCCCATCGCTGTTTGCCAATGGGTCCTGGTACAAAAAATGTGGAGAACGGCTGGTCTCTTCCAGACCAAATTATGACTCTTTAACCGCTCCTGCCCACCCTTTCCCGCTGTGCGCCCAGCACCCGCCCTGCCGGAGCCGGCCTCCCTGTACTGCACCCTGCACCCCCCGCG